AAGCACTTGCCTGGGTATGACTCAGGGCCGGACAGGAATTCACACTATGAATCCGGTTGGTGGGAAGACGGAGAAGTATGCCTACAAAGATCAAAGAGCCAGGAATGGAAAACACGCTAAAAACCTTCCCAGTGGGCAGGCTGCCTCCCCACAGACAAGACCTCTTTAATCCTGAGTGTAATTAAGGACACAAAGCAACACCCTGGATTCCTTCAGCATAGGCAAAGCAAAGGAAGAGCGAGAGGAAGGGAGGGAGAGAGAGAAAGAAATGCAATTAAATACATACATAAATAAAAAGAACAAAAGCAGAGACAGGCTAAAAAAGAAAAAGGAGCAATGCTCACATCAAGGGGGGTTGCCAGCAACAATCCCCACTGATGCTTCTCCACAGCACCACAGGTTACCTAATCTCAGCTGCCTACTGGACCATCCAAATGACCAAGGAGAGACTCGGTTTAAGTTCTGAGTGAGACTTCTGTTGCTGGAGATGAGATTACTTAGGATTATCATCTGGGTGACACAGTGAAATGTACTCACTGAAATGAAGTCTCTCAAATTCTGCCTGCTTGGAGATGGATTTAGGTATCCTAAGAGGTGAGGGATTACTCAAAAAGATTTTAACCTATCTTTTAAAAAAGCATTTCTTCTTCTGAGGAAAATGAGGAACTCTCAGATACATGGACACTGAATTACCAGGAAGGAAAGTGTCTAGTTGTGGGTTTGGAGGCCCTACAGTCTCTCATAAAAAGGGAAAAGATAAGGAAGGTGAGAACTTAAGCAAAGCACAAGCAAGTCTCCCTTTTCTAACAGGGAAATAGATGCTCCACAAAAGCAAGAACTAATAACTCAGGATAAGGAGTAGAACATCTCATCTTAAAACCCCCAAAGGAAAACCACTCCTGGAGGAGATGACTTTAAAGATGGAGGATTCAAAGATTAAGATCTAGAATCTAAGCCACATTCTACTTTCTCAGAAACTTCATACCTACTCAGATAAATCCCAATAGGTAAACCGAATAAAAAGACAGTCCTTACCCAGCGAGACCACGTTCCCATAATTCTCTAACATCACTTCTCTGTAGAGATCCCTCTGAACAGGGTCCAGGCATCCCCATTCCTCTCGAGTAAGGTGCACAGCCACATCCTCGAATGTCACAAACTCCTGAAATAACACAGCCTGGCTGCTCTGGGGAATGAGGCCACTATAGCATCATGGCCAGAGGGCAAAGGAGATGATAGAGGTAGACTCTCCAGTGTACATTTATGTTGGGGAGGAGTGAGAACAGATTAGAATCTAGGGAACAAGTTCCATAACCCTTTAACACCTAATAAGTGCCCATCACAGCACCAGGGAGAAAGAAGAAACAGTGTTTTTTGCTGGTGGTTTGGGGGAAATGGGAAAGTGGTTTGTGTGAAGTCCAGGTCTCTGAGGAGGATCAGTTTCCAAACTCAGGTCTGCTACTGAAAAAAATTCCACGCAAAGTTTACAGATGGGACGAGGGAAGGGCCACACTCAATCAGCAGCAATAGTCCCTGAGGAAAAGCAAAGGGTTCCTCAGCTCACCTGGTACCTGGCTGTCAGGAGCGCAGCTGCCTGGTCTCCTGGGCTTCCCTCGTGGGGAAGAGCAGGCACCTGGGGAACAGGTGGAGCTAAGGGAGGAGAAAGGAGCCAAGAGTGAGAGCAGCCCTTCCCTAGGGCTCCCTTACAGAAGAGAGTCAGTGGGACCCTTCTTCACATCAACATTCTAGTAAAACCAATGAACATTTATCAGGTATTGAATGGGTATTCTGCTCCTTCTCAGCACTTGGCATGCCCTGCTTACACATGTTTAGACCCGTGAAACAGGATTTGATTATGAAATCTCATATTTCACTTTAACCTCATGACATGACATTCCTCTAAGAGAAGGGTAAGAACTATACCTGTTTTGCAGACGGGCAAAGCAAAGCATAAAGACTTGCAGTGACTTGTCCCAGGCCATGGTTATTTAGTAGAGTTCTGACCCTTTCCCAGACACTGTTTTATAAACATCATTAAGCTTTTTCTTGTGAATGGACACTGTCTCTGCAACCAGCGTGTAAGGCCCCTAAGAATAAGGAATGGTCATCTGTTTCCTCACAATCCTTTCCACACTCCCACAATTCCCCACAGCATTCTACACACTGTGGCACTCAATCAGTGTTACTGACACAAGTTATTTCAGGCACTGCAGTTGGCCACAAATAATCAAAGATAAGATTCTTACAAAAAAAAGAAAAGACAGATCAACCTATCTATACAATACATTAAAATGTTATTGTATAGTCAATATGTGACATGTATATATTCACAGGCATTGTGCTCAACCAAGGAATTAAACGGGTGCTTTCTTGATCAAAATTAGGTTAGTCACAAACACTGCAATTACAACAAAATGGCATGTGGCAAAGCACAAAAGGTCAAGGAGGGAAGAAATTAAGTGAAGGGAACAGAAGGAGGGAGAGCTCCTATACCTAAGAAGTGAAAGCCAGGCAGGGATTGTGAGATGCAGCAAGAGCAGCATATCTTAGAAAATTTGTGACTGTGGTAACTGGGATGAAGTGAAGGTTGTATGAACAAAAACAGCTGGAGCAAAGTAAATGATTACCACTCTGCTTATTAAGGAAAGATGGGCTGTACTTAATAGAGGGGCCCACATCAGGACTGTACTGAATAGCATCTGTCCCTCCCTTCCAGACCTCCCTTTAGGGGCCATCTTCTTATTGAAGTTCCTGGCCTCTTACACCAAGCCCAGGAGTCCCTGTACACTCCCCTTCTCCTCGGTATAAGTGTGCTCGCTGCCTTACCCACAGAGAGTCCCTGTTCCATGTCGGTGTCCTGCACGAGCTGAGGCTCTGGGGGTAGACCCTCAGACTGGGTCTCCAAAGACTGAAACTGGACCCTTGGTGATCCTGCTGCTTCCTGAACCGGTATTTCCTCCATCCCCGTTCTGGAGGACAATGACCATCACTGTGGGGTGAGATTAGTAGAAATTATTGTACTAAGTTTTAAAAAGACCATCATTTCATATCCTTAGGACTTAGCAAAGTATCTTACACACTGCAGATACTCAATAAAAATAGTTGATGATTGTTAAACACCTACATTAAATAACAAAGAAAAATGGATACTATTCAGTTTCAAATATTTAAAAACCAATCATATGCTCCAAGTATGCAGGTTTATTTGGACTCCACTAATTCAGATTTTATTAAAAAATCAAGAAAGTACGATTTAATCGTGTAAAGATTTCTGTGGTAAGTTTCAAATATTTAAAATTTACAAATTTTTTTCAAGGCTCAAGTTTGTACAAGAGAAATATACTAGTCATGATTACTCATTAATTTTTTTTTAAAGCAGGCACCTCAGTAAACACTCTGTCAACTCGCTTTCAATTACTAAATGGTCTTGACTAATAACAAAATTCCACTTTTGGAGTCAGAACCTTCGCTAACAGACTAAGGAGGCAGGCCTTTTGCCACAATCCTGACAGTAACCCAGGGAAGTACTGCGATTCAAACAGGTTTGACTGGTGTCCTTCAAACCCAAGGACGCAACAGAGTTCTCCGTCCCTTTCCCTCAACCCTCAAAGGGCCCTCGCGCCGGGTCCTCTGAAGGCCTCGCCCGGCGCTGCCCTCCTCCCACTTCCCTGTTAGGTGAAGACACGGTCCCAAAAGGACGAGGCGGGCCACAGAGACCCAGCTCACTGCAGGGCACTGCCACCGGGTTCTGACAGCGAGGCCCTCAGTCCGCGGAGCGTCTGGGCAAACCCGGCCTGAGGAGAAACAGGCCCTCCCACCGCCGGCGCCGCGCGCTCTTGGGGACGTAAACCGCCGTCCGCAGGGCCGGGGCCGCCTCCTCCTCCTCCCCGGGAGGCTAACGAAGGGGCCATCCCCACTGCGACCCCAGAAAGGCTTCCGGGGACTCACCCGAGCGGAGTGTCGGGCCAAGCTGCCGTCCAGTCGCAGACACCCTGGCGCCCGGGGCCAACCCTGGCCTTTTGGCGGTCGCTCTCTGTCGCTTGGAGGCGGTGCTTGGAGGCGGCACTTCCGGAGGCGGAGCCTGACGGCCGGGTGCAGAAGACCGGCCCCCGGATGAGGGCTCGGGATGAAGGTTTGGACCCTCAGAACTCGGCTTGCGTGGCTGTTCCACGTCAGTCTCCCAGCCTCACCTCATTCCCTGCTAACCCCGCTAGCCGCCTCTGTAGCCAATATACCAGTTATGACTGTGACAGCCCCGGACTTGGGAGGGCGCCCCCTCTGGCCCTTCCTTGCTTCAGCCATCCCTCGAGATTCCCTGAGGGGTGGTGGCTAGCCCACGTATGTGCGTATCCGGGCGAGAAGGAATGGCAGACCTAATAGTCCAACTTCCAGGACAACGGTATAGAATATACTGATTAAAGAGAGGATTGCAGGCGCTTTGGTAATATGAGGACCATGGGATCGGAATCTACAAAGGTTCTTGGGGGAAGGCAGGAGCATTGAGCAATTTGGAGTGGAAGAGAGAAACGGAAGAGGGCCAGTTCCTGGGGGGATGATGGGACTATGCAGAAACAAGGACAGGTAACGCACGGAGCTCGTGGACAGGCAGGCCAGGCAGGCCGAGTGCTAGAATAGAAGCCCCTAGGGCATTATGACCTGGATCTTTAGAGAATATAATGTCTTGTGGGGGAACTAGATCTGCTAAGAACTGGCAAGTCTCTTAAAGAATCAAAGTGGTGTGGAAGGGATTTTAGATAATACTCCTCTGTTTAAGTTAAATGTCATCCTTTAATGCTATTTGATGTCAAATATAAGAAAAATCAAAAGCGTGTCATTCTTATGCTTTTTCAAACTACAACAGCCTCAGAGATTCTGATAATGCCTTTCCTTTCTTTTCTCCGTATCACTGCTCTAATGCAGCTTCCTACTATGACAGTCTCTCTAGTCTACAGTATCCCTGTCACAATGAAATCAGCATAACATAGAAATTGCACTGCTTAGTCAATTGCTTGCTGGACAGCTCCATTTAGAAAGTTTCCTGTGTTGAAAAGAAAGATACCCCCTACCTATTTTTTCTGTTAAGTTCTCTGAGACAACAAATGACACATTACTCCCTCCTTTTCATTAACAGCTCTTCTAATCTTCTAGGATAACTATAAGTTTGGGGTTCTTTCCTAAGTTGCCATTTCCCCACAAGTTGTACCTATTAGCAGAGTGCTGCATCTCTACAGCAGAGGTGAGCAAACTATGGCAATAGTGCATTTGTTTCTAATAGCTGACTTTAGTTTGCTCCTATGATAGGACCACAAGAAGCACCTACTAGAGAGAATCTACTTCCCACCAATAGGCATCAATCTCTAACAAAGAGTGGTAAGAAACAGTAGCTACTACGTTTCTGAGCAAAATGTTCTTTCGGGGCGGCGCGGGTGGGGGGGGGGTTGTCAGGTGACACAGGTGGAAACAATTAGCCAACTCATAAAATTTGTGATTTTTAGTTTAAACTACATAGCAACTATTCCCAATGAATTGAGCACTTCATTAATCTTTCTTTTATGCCTACCAATTCACTAGGTATAGATGGGTACAAAAGAAGTAAAATATGCCAGAATTTATATATGCTCTGAGTATAAGTTTGTCTTTCCTGACCGCTTTGCCTCCACCATCACTTGCAGACTTACAAGATGTCGTATCCATTGGACATAACTTAGAGCAAGGAACCCATTTTGGAGTCAAGAAGGTGTGACATTCAGCTTGTAACTACAAAATTCATGGTGCTTACTCATCACTCAGAAGCAGCTAGCCTGACAGAAGTATGGAATGGCATGTTGAAGACTCAGCTAAACTGCTGATACAAGATACAGCACCTTGCAAAGTTAGGGATACAGTATATGCATTGATATGCACTGAACCAATAATATGTATATATATGGTATTTTGTCTCCAACAGAAAAACTTCATGGGTACAGGAACCAAGGGGTCAAACACAGGAGTGGCCCCTATTACTGTCATAGACAGTAAGGATACAGGCCATCACTTGCAAAATTCTTAATCTTTTTAATAAACCTAGTTAAGTCTTTCCTCTTTTCTTTGGAGAAAGACCCTCTCCCTCTAATTTAGATAATTACCTTGAAACTGGCAACTCAGGTCCTCTGGCTACTGATAAGGATCACTGAAACTCAGCATTCTCTTTGGCCCATTTTAAGGCAGGAATGGCTTTAGGCCAAAACAGGGCCCTTGGAGTCCCAGTCAGAAAGAGACCTTTTACCCAAAGTTTCTTTCTTTCTTTTACAAAATATATGAATCAAGCCTGATTTCTTTTACCTGCTTGGTAGGTAAATCAATAATAGAAATGTAACTTGATATGATTCAAATTTGTGTCTTTTTCCTTGTCTAGGGACTGAGGTGGCACTTGGGCAGGAAACCCAAGATCCTGTCCTGACTAAAAG